TTTAGCTGGAGAAGGAAAATTACAAATATGGTAAATCCCAGCACCTTTTAAAATTTTGAATGAAAGAAAAGTAATTCTGTTAGAGACAATGAAATACATGAGACTTCGAATTGAAAATAAAGTAGGCTTTAAACTTCACTTTCTCCACAAAAACTACTGTGAATGAACCATGTCCCTTTGTTATAAGTCCTAAACAGTTAACTGCCACATGAATCTAATGAAATTGTCAGGTTATAGTAATTACATCAGTAATTTGATACGTTGTCATTTGAATGGACCATGTGTGCAGAGTCAGTTACTTCCCTCTGTGGGGCTGACCCTTTTACATTCCTGTAAGCTGAAGACTAATAGAGCTCATTAAGCTTTATGGGAAAAGAGCTTTTATCACCTCGTCAAGTCAGGCAACATATTTCCATTATATTCCTAATTTCATGTGGCTCTGTAGCTGCTGATGTGCACTCCCCTGCTAGGTTTACATCGAACCTCTGCCTTACAGACATTTTTATTGACATTTCTTAGTCTGAATTACATTTGTGTGGCACCACTTACAGATGTCTTCAATTAAATGTAGGTAAATAAAAGGGATTATATATCAGAGGCCAAAAGATTCTTGAAATTCTCTTCTGAGTCAAACTTTGCCAGCCAGTCCAGTAGGGTGCAGTCTCATCATCATTTCTGGAGGTGGAGAGCTCCAGGAGAGGCATTTATGACAACTATTAAACCATGTGTGAAGATAGGTCACTTAGGCTTCTCTTCAGGTATGTCCTATTGCTTCATTTCAGATCAGTTAAAGTCTTTTGTGTTAATAGTTATGATAATAACTTACTGAGAATTTAACACCTGTGGTGTACAGGTTCTATGCTTAGCACTTTTCTAATTTTGGTTTTTACAGAATGTCCATGAGGTTGATAGTCCGAATTTTCTTATGAAGAAAATTGAACCCAGAGAGGTAGATTAGGTGCTCAGTATCATAGCTACTAGTATGTGACAACAGTCACAAGACAGGAAGGAGGAAATGGAATGATACTGTAATAAGATTCCAACATTACATGAAGTGATAGATTATTTGAAAGAAGACAGTAATAAGTTAGAGAAGTAAAACCCAAAAGCAGGATTTCTCAACCTTGGCACCATCTGCATCTCGGGCTAATTGTTTGTTTGCGAGGAGCTATTCTGCACATTGTAGGAAGCTTAGCAGCATCTCTAGCCTCTGCCTACTACATGCTAGTAGGATCTCCTCCCCCAGCCCTGTCTACTGAGTTGGAACAAAATGTCTTCAGACTTTGCAAAAGTCCCTAGGGGGCAAAATGGCTCCCTGTTGAAAACCACTGCCCTAGAGCAGCCTTAAAAAAAAAAAGTACATAGATATAGTTAATAAGCCAATCATGAAAATAAAATGCAATGATAAAATGTGTTTAGTCTAACAAAACACAAGAAAAAGAAGGAAAAAGGAACCAAAAACAAGTAGGATAAAAAGGAAACAAATAGCAAGATGGTCCACTTAAATTTAGCCGTATTGATTGTTACATTAAATATAAATGGTGTAAGTCAAAACTCTGCTGCCAGGTAATGTTCTATTTCTGCACTGTCCATACAGTAGCCAGTGGTCATACATAGCTACTGAGCTCTCTAAGAACTGAATTTTAAATGTTTTAAATTTAGTTAAATTTAAGTAACCACATGTGGCCAGTGGCTATACTATTGGACAGTGCAGTCTAAACATTCCAATTACCAGTTAGAGATTCTCATCAAGATAAAACAAAAAAGCAATATCCACCTTAAATAAGAAGACATGGATAAGTTAGAAGTAAAAGGCTAGAGTAAGACATTACCGTGCAAATACTAATTATAAGAAAATTGGAGTGCCTGTCTTCATATCAGACAAAGTAGACTGCAGAACAAACAAGAAAGAAGGACTTTTCGTAATGATAACAAGGTCAATTCATTGTATGAATGTGCAATAATTCAAAATGTGATCCACTTAATAATGGAGACTCACAATACATAAGCCTCAACATATATTAGCTTTTATTTAAACTAAGAACCAAAGGGAGAAATAGTCAAATCCACAGGTATAGTTGGA